ATCATAACCACAAAATGATACATTCAGCACTTGAACAGAAGCTTCCTTATAATGGTTCCTCAAGAACCAGAGCTTCATTGCATAATAATTTTCTCCATCAGTCAACACATGAAAAACCTGATTTGAACTTTCCTGAAAAATTTCACAACAAGAAGTAAAATTATTATTACATCAGCTAAAATTAAACTTGTATCAAATCAGTAGTGCATGACTAGATGCATAGCATACCTTTGCATGAAATACAATGGAGTTGATAACCACTGAAGTTGCAAGCACATTATTAGAGAAAATAACATAATGGTGTAATGATGAATCAATAAACTTTTCCTCATTAGTCTTCTCTTCATAATTAGGGGATTTGAAATATTCTACAGTTAGTTTCAGTGACAGGTAGTGAAGACTCTTTGGCATTGTCTGAACATTAAGTATATAAACTACGCAGATATATATATACAGAAGTGAACATGTAACCAAAAGATGAGTTTATACACTAATACTAGTGCATCTAAGAATGGAAATTTTGAAGCAAATTTCAAAACGTACTAATTTAAATTTAACAAATGATTCATGTTTACTAATTTTTGAAAAGAAAAACAGTATTGATCAATTCAAAAAAATGAATCAATAATAGTATTACTCAGTTTAAGAATTAAAAAAAAAAAATCAGCATTGAACATTAAATTTACCAGAATGAGCATGTGCATACTAAGCATGCAAAATTCATATGAAAAACTAAAGGACATTGTCACTGAAAACAATGAATGCACAAAAAAATTATTTGATTTTAATGGTTTAGTTTCAGATATATTGTAAAATAGGTGAGATTTGTTATACAATTAAATTTGATTTTAACTAAATATATTATTTTTCTTTTCCAGACTTGTTTTATTTTGCTCGTTAAAGATATAATACAAGGGCAAACATTAGCACCATAGCTGTCAATCCCAAATAGTTGCATAGTAACCGACCCTCAACATGCTATACTGAAATAATGAGAATATGATGCGGGTGCTATTCTAACCAATATTAGAATAAAAAATTAAGGCTAAAACTTAGAAGCGAACACGGTGAGATGAAATGAACGACCTGTTTTAGAGAGATTAGAAAATAGAACAATGCAGGGAGAAAATAGAGTAAGGCGGTAAAAGTTATGCAAGGCCGGACAGAGTGACAGTTGCAGAGGAAATTTGACATTTTCTGTTCAGCAATGTTCCTTTATATAAAACAGGAGTCTATTAAAATCCAGGCGAAAGATGAAGCAATATCAAAAGTGTTTTGCTGCAATCTTACCATCCATATCACAGAAGATATAGCTAAACTTTGGTTTGTAAAATCGAAGACTGCCTTCTTTCTTCCTGTCTTTTGACAATTCATCTATAAGATTATTGCCCCATACATTTTATGCAAATGATAGTTACTTGAATTAGAGGGAAATATATAAAACCAATAAATTAAAATTATGCAAGTTGAGGATTGCTGAGGCATACTAGTAAAAAATACAATTGCCATCTGAACTGTCTTGGTGAAAATTTGAGTTTGTTTCAACATCACATGCACTCTTTATTAGCCCTTTTCCCTTCCAATCAAGACTTCTTAAAAGGATTTCCTCCTCTCTTTCCATTTCTACTTCAGCCTTTTCGCTCATTCCTTTTGGTTTAGGTCTTCTTATTGAACTTTTCTTGCTTTATTTCTTCATTGCTTCATCTCTGGATTGGAAGTGACACAAAACTTTGCAAAGGGAAAAAACATTGGCTTATAAGGACTAGAAGAAAGAAAAGAACTCTAAAACTAGGAAAATTGGACTTAAAATTAACCTAATAATTCCTAGACTCTAAATCACCTTCATAAGAGTGAATCCTTCCTTTTCCATTGTAAGAAACCTCTGTATGCCTTGATGTGTTTTCTTCATCGTGCAAGTCTCAAGAAAATAAAGAAGAATGCTTAGCAACGGATTTATTGACCAAAATACATTTGCTAGAAAATCTATCACTAATTCCATCTCAAATACGTCACTAATTTTTTGTTTTAGGCTAGTTTACGTTTTCTTGCAATTTTTCTCATTTTTGAATCATTTGTAATTGCTTGGAGGGAGTATTAAGAAGTTGGTCAGGTATATCTAACCCTTGTAGCATTTAATTTCACGTTAATGCTAGTGGAAGTGTCGTTGATTAGCTCCAAGTGTTGATCAAGCTTCCACTTAGGGAACCGACTAGTTTGTTTAACATTTTCTCTTGTTATTAAGCTTTCAAATTGCATGTTTTAATTGTTAAGTTTTTTGTATGCTTGCTTGTTGACGTTTAGGGGAAACAATTTCTAACTTTCAAAGGCTTAGTGTTGTTTAGAACCATATTTAACTAGTAATCTTTGGCCAATTTTTCTTTAGGAGTTTTTTAAAACTTCTTTTTGAAAACTCTTTTTATTTAATCATGAGAAAACATTCCTCAAGTGGTAGTGACTCAAGCTCTCCAAAAAAAATTTCACATCCTACTCAAGAGCTTAAGCCATTAAAACTTTGGAAAAAGCAAGAAGTGTTAGCAAAAGAAAAAGAAAAACTTGAAAGAGAAGCACCACTTGCCGTTTTGGAGAAAGAAATTCGCATTATTAAAAAAAAGGAAGAAAAATTTTTGGCAAAAATAAAATTGAGCAATAAAAGGGAAAAGAAAGAAAGAAGACACTTCTCTTAGGGAAGAGTAAGGAGGAAAGTATCTCCTGAGAGGAGGAAATCCTTTTAAGAAGTCTTGATTGGAAGGGAAAAGGGCTAATAAAGAGTGCATGTGATGTTGAAACAAACTCAAATTTTCACCAAGACAGTTCAGATGGCAATTGTATTTTTTACTAGTATGCCTCAGCAATCCTCAACTTGCATAATTTTAATTTATTGGTTTTATATATTTCCCTCTAATTCAAGTAAATATCATTTGCATAAAATGTATGGGGCAATAATCTTATAGATGAATTGTCAAAAGACAGGAAGAAAGAAGGCAGTCTTAGATTTTACAAACCAAAGTTTAGCTATATCTTCTGTGATATGGATGGTAAGATTGCAGCAAAACTCTTTTGATATTGCTTCATCTTTCGCCTGGATTTTAATAGACTCCTGTTTTATATAAAGGAACATTGCTGAACAGAAAATGTCAAATTTCCTCTGCAACTGTCACTCTGTCCGGCCTTGCATAACTTTTACCGCCTTACTCTATTTTCTCCCTGCATTGTTCTATTTTCTAATCTCTCTAAAACAGGTCGTTCATTTCATCTCACCGTGTTCGCTTCTAAGTTTTAGCCTTAATTTTTTATTCTAATATTGGTTAGAATAGCACCCGCATCATATTCTCATTATTTCAGTATAGCATGTTGAGGGTCGGTTACTATGCAACTATTTGGGATTGACAGCTATGGTGCTAATGTTTGCCCTTGTATTATATCTTTAACGAGCAAAATAAAACAAGTCTGGAAAAGAAAAATAATATATTTAGTTAAAATCAAATTTAATTGTATAACAAATCTCACCTATTTTACAATATATCTGAAACTAAACCATTAAAATCAAATAATTTTTTTGTGCATTCATTGTTTTCAGTGACTATATTATCCATTGATAAGTCCTTAGAATTTTTCCATTCCTTAGGAAATTGTTCACTTGTATCCTTAGTGTTTTCATTTGGTTCACTCTCTTTAGGCTTGTCATTAGCTTCACTCTCCAATAGAGGTTGATCAAGCAAATCAGTCAAGTCTTCTATTTCAGTTTGCTTTGTCTCTTGTTTGTTAGTCTCATCAAACACAACATGAACTGATTCTTCAACAACTAGAGTTCTCTTGTTATAGATTCTATAGGCTTTGCTATTTGTAGAATATCCTAAAAAGATTGCCTCATCAGCCTTTGCATCAAATTTTCCAAG